TGAGGTCAAAAACTGGACTGGACATTCTCCTTCGGGATGTTTTGGTAGACAGCAGAATTCTTAATTCCATTTACCGCACCAAGTCTTTCAGGTTCCGAGGAAGCAAAACAGCCCCAGGCCAACACACTACCATGACCATATTTTACTGTTGGTATGATGTTCCTTGTCTGCAACGCTGTTAGTTTTTATGCCAGATGTAACAGGACTCAAACCTTCCAAAAAGTTCAACTTCTATCTCGTCTGCATAAAAGAATGTTTTACCAGATGTCTTGGGGAGATGTTTTTGGCAATTGTGAGATGAGCCTTTGAGTTATTTTTGGTCAGCAGAGGTTTTCTCCTAGAAATCTCCCATTTTTGCTCATTCCTTTTCTTATTGTTGGATCATGAAGTCTGATCTTAACTGAGACATGTGAATCCTGAGGTTCTTTAATGTTTTCTGGGTTATTTTATGACCTCTTGGATGAGTTGTTGATGTGCTCTTGGAGTAACTTTGGTAAGCCAGTCAAGCCTGGAAAGCTTCACCACTGTTCCAGATTTACTCCATTGGTGTATAATGGCTCTCACTTTGGTTCACTGGAGTCCCAAACATGTAAGTGTGAAAAATATGCAAAAGACTGGAAAATCAGGAAGGGGGCAAACACTTTTTCACATCACTGTATTAAAAACTAAAATATTGATCTCATTGTCATTTTGTTTTAAGGTTCCTCTACAATCATGATGCGACTGGTAATGTATAACTTTAAATACATTTTAAGTTCAATTAAAATTGAATTTCCTTTTGTTCTGTAATACACATGTTTTCACATTACAAGCTCAATTCCGAAAATGTTGGGATTCTGCATAAAATCTAAATAAAAACAGAATGATATGATTTGCAAATTTTGCAAACTAACATTTTATTCACAATATAAAATATGTGAAATAAGTTTAAACTTATTAGTGGCTGATTTAAAATAGTATCAAATAGTAAAAGTTCTGGCCTGCAGGGAAACAAGTTCAGCATCTATACACTTCAACTTTAATATTGTCTTGGTGAAATATGTAAGGCCTTGACCAAAAGAAACATAATATGGATGGGAGCACATGTTGCTCTAAAACCTGTTCACAGCTTTCAGCACTGATGGTGCTTTTCCAGATGTGGGAGATTTAAAATTATCTGACTGTAGAAGTACACGCCAGAAACGATGGTTCTGCACACTGTTATTGTTTTTTATTGAGAGTTATGCACACAAAGAAGGCAGTCTGTTTCAGTCTAGCTCTCTCCTCCTCCCCGCTCGACTCTGCCTTCACTATAGAGACACGGAAAAGAGACACCGTCATCAGACAATCGCCTGTGGCTCACCTGCCTACCGGTGCCGCCCCCTTGAGCTCACTGCACCACTCCTCCCTTGCAGCTGAGCCAGGGACCACGCCACCACCACACTGATATATTTCATGAAATAGCAAAATGACTCAGTTAAATTTTGTTTTAAATGTTCTACTGAGAATAAAGTGTCAGTTTATGAAATTTGCAAATCATTGTATTCCGGTTTCAGTTACATTTTACAGAATTTCCCAACATTATCAGAATTGATTTTATACATTCAAGACAATATGTATAAGCAGAATGCAGTTTTATGTGATTCCAACATAATTATTTTTTCTATTTTTTCTTGCAGTTGGTTGTTGCCATTACTGCGGGATTACTTTTTGGTGGGTTGTTCTCAATAACTATTAAATTTGAACAATTCTGCAATTTATAAGCAGTGCATTTAATCAAAAAATATGCAATTAAAGTATTATTAGCAAAACAAAATGTTATGTTTGTGTTTACCAGAAAACACATACAAGGTGGACAGTGCGCCCAGCTCTGAAAAACAAAAAGATAAAAATGGTAAGACCCTTCACAGTAGGATGCTACATTTCATGACCAATGTCCTGTATCTTAGCTAATGTAGAAAAACATTGTAACATGTTAATTGTATATTCAGATTTGACAATCTTAAAATAGTAACATCCTTCATCACAAGTTGATTAATGTTACATACAATGTATGTTATTTCAGTCTCAGATGAAGAACTTTGTATCTACTTCTAAAGTTAATAGCTTCTGACAAGACTATAATATCTCAAAAGTGTTGGCAATTGCAAAAATACAACATTATTCTTCTTACTAGGAAGTGAAAATCAGGCTTCCAGTGGCTCCAGTTCTAAGAACCCAAAGGATAAAAATGGTGAGATCCTTCATTACAACTTGAATAATGTTGTAATTAGTTTTATGTGTGTACATAAAAGGTTTATATTTTCTTCTGAAGAGCTTTGTATCTTCTTGTAAAGTTGTTTTTTGGCAATTATGTCAACTGGCAGAACTGTATACAGTCACAAAAAACAATAGAAATAGTTCGATCTTTCATAACAATTTCATTAATGTCAATACAGTGTGTATTATTTCAGTCAAAATCACAACATTATTCTTCTTAGTAGGAAGCGACCAGCAGGCTCCCAGTGGCTCCATTCCTAAGGACCCAAAGGATAAAAAAGGTATTGCAATATGATTAATGTCACATAAAATGCGTATTATTTCAATCACTGCAGAAGAGCTTTGTAGCATTTTGTAAAGTTATTCAGTTTTGACAGCTGTGCCATCATAACTGTGCACAATCACAACAGACATCATTTTTTGATTATATTTACTAGAAAACTCCACGGACTCCAGTCCTAAAGACCAAAAGGATAAAAATGGTGCGATCCTTCATTACAACCTAATGAATGTCACATAAAATATGGATATTTTCAGTCGGTGCTGAAAAGCTTTGTATCTTCGTGTAAAGTTGCTCATTTTTGAAAATTACATAAATTGGCAGAACTGTAAAAATAGAAATATTGAGATCCTTCATAAAAATTTCATTAATGTCAATACAGTGTGTATTATTTCAGTCACTGGTAGAACTGTACAACATCACAACATTATTCTTCTTACTAGGAAGCGACCAGCAGGCTCCCAGTGGATCTAGTCCTAAGGCTCCATAGGATTAAAAATGGTAGATCCTTCATTGTAATATGATTAGTGTCACATAAAATCCGTATTATTTCAATCACTGCAGAAGAGCTTTGTAGCAATTTGTAAATTTATTCCGTTTTGGCAGCTGTGCCATCATAACTGTGCACAATCACAACAGACATCATTTTTTGATTGTATTTACTAGAAAACTCCCCTCAAACCGTTCTTAGGGCCCAAAGGGTTAAAAAAGGTAGATCCTTAATGAGAATTTGATTAATGCCTGTACAGTGTGTATCATTTCAATCACTGCAGAAGAGTTTAGTAAAAGTTACTCATTTTTGACAATTTTGCACAATCACTGTGCACAATCACAACAGACATCATTTTCTTACTATATTTACTAGAAAACTCCACTGACTCCAGTCCTAAGGACCAAAAGGATAAAAAAAGTCAGATCCTTCATTACAACTTGATTTATGTCACAAACGTGTATGCACATAAAATGTGCTGAAGGACTTTTCAGCTTCTTGTAAATGTATTAAATTTTGACAATTTTGTAAACTCCCAGAACTGTACACAATCACAAAAGATCTTTTTATTCATTTTAACTAGAAAAGTCAAGTGGCTCCAGTTCTAAGAAACAAAAAGATAAAAATGGTGAGATCCTTCATTGTAACTTGATTAACACCATGTAAAATGTGTATATCTTCAGTCTCTGTTGAAGAGCTTTGCATCTTCTTGTAAAATTATTCAAATTTGACAAGAATTGTACACTGTAACAAAGTACAACATTATTCCACTTAATAGGAAGCAAATTGCAAGACTCCAGTGAATCTAGTTCAAAGGAAGAAAAGGACGGTAAGAGCCTTCAACACTGTGTATCAGTATTACATACAGTGTGGTGTATTTTAATCACGGTGGAAGAACTTTGTAACGTCTTGGAACTCCATAAACTGTAAGGACTGTTATTCTTCTTATGTTTACTAGAAAGGAAACAGCAGGACTCTAGTGAATCTAGTTCAAAGGAAGAAAAGGGTGAAAATGGTGAGACCCTTCACTATGTGTCACACCCAACGTGTAGTCAGTGGCATACTTTGAAATGAGAGAAATATTTGCTTATATTGTGATGTCAAACAATGCCCCCAAAATGATGATGTATTAGTCTATACATTTACATCTATATTCTACATTTTTTAATTGGTTGCTAAAGCTCATAAGATAAATGCACATTAAACTGTTTACTGGATTATGTGTTAAATGTGTTGACGTGACAGTGGAAATTCAGATTTTTTTCTTATCTTATCTTATCTTTTAAGGTGTATTTAATTAAATTAAATGCATTTAATGAAATAACTTTGACAGGTACACAAAGACATCAGCACTGTACACCATCACAAATAAAATAACATTATAACATTTATATTTACTAGAAAGCAACCTACGCCTCGTGTGTGTGTCTGATTTTAAGGAACAAAAGAGAACCCTTCACTTTAATATAACCCAAAGTGAAGTGAAGTTTCTAAGTTCCTAAGGTGGAAAATTTAATGTTTCATTTGTCACACAGGAGTAGCTATTTTATCCTTTTTATCAGTTTCCTGATAAAATAGGACTTTCCTCTTTTTTTTTGGTAGTCACACAGTATTAACTCTCATTTTCTCACCATCTAAAGTATCGAATTCATTGTATTTGAAAAACAATCGCTGCATTTTAATTGATCAGTTTGTGCACTTTTTAAAGTCTCACTTTCTGCTGTTTCTTCATTTTCTGCATTTCAGTAAAGCCCTGCTACTATCCCACCAACATTCGTAAGGAGATCACATTTTACTTTCTCATTTGCAGTTACAGTCTGAAAAAGTGTGAAATATTTAAGTTTCTTTGATGATCTGAAACCTAATACTTTTTCACACCACTGTACATCACAGCCATCTTTTTTAACATTCACAATTTGTCGTAGTCAAATGAAAACATTTACAGAAAAGCTTTCAAAGTTGCTAAATTATCTGAATTTGACCCTTTTCCAGGATGCTGGACAGAATGGTTCGATAGAGACGACCCTTCTGCATCTGGAGACTGGGAAACTCTTTGCAGGCTCCGCAAAGAGAACCCTGGAAAGATCTGCCCTAGACCAGCAGCTATCGAAGCCAAGACTCTATCTGGGCTCACTGTGGCTGCAGCAGGGGATGTGATTTACAAGTAAGAACAGTACAAGAAAAAATATGTGAAAAAGTGTGTGTGAGTGATATATTCTATGGAATTGGCAGCATTTGCATCTTCACTGTTTAAGTTGGACACAGTTTGAGGATTCACCAAAGTGTGACATGAACCATATGCCACAGCAATCCATCCAGTGTTTTGGAGATACTGCAGCCTGTACCACAGTGGTGACAAATCAACAGACAGACAGATGGGCTGACAGAGTTTGATTGCCATGCCTTTAACCATGCATTAACATGTCTAAAAAATGCAAATACACTTAAGTGGTTACAGCTATTAGGCTGCTCTTAGTCAGTGTCATGCTGGTCTCCTTCTTTTCTTTTTTCTTTTTTAGAAATGACATAACTTCAGGATTTATCTGCAGAAACAAAGACCAGATCAACAATAAGAAGTGCAACGATTATCGTGTTCGCTTCAGCTGCTATCCCCCGTTTTGTGAAAGAGGAGGTATCACTACATTCTGCATGTGGAATATTAAGCTCCTAATGCAAACTGATTTCTTGCTTTTTTTTATTGCATAAAGTATAGACAGTCATTTAAAATGTTGCATTGGTTCTGTAGTTTTCTAACAGGCATGCTTTGTCTGTATTTACTCACTGCAGTGTGTTGGACCAGCTGGTTTAATCGCGATGATCCTGGTACAACAGGAGACTGGGAGGTTTTAAGTGAACTGAAGAAACACAACAAAATTTGTGACAACCCTCTGTATGTGGACGCTGTTACCACTGACACAATGACCCCAGCCATCTACACAGGGGAGACCTTTTACATGTAAGCTGCCTCCTAAGAAAACAATAAAAGCTTCACGTGTAGTACAAACAACCCAATGATCAAACACAGTGTTCAGCAACAACGCCTCTTGCCTCTAGTTTCCAAATTTTAGATATGTTCTGCCTGAAGATATTTCTTAAACAACGAATGGGAATTCAGTTATATTTGTAAGGGTGATCATTTTTCCTGAGGGATTTCAAAATAATGTCAAAATTCATTCTTGTATTACTGGGTTTGACTAGAACAATATGTGTGTTATGAGAAAGAAAAAGTAATACATGACAGGAAATGATTTACATGTGATTATTTTATCTTATTTAAATTGGATGTTTGAGACATTTCACATTTACACTTATAAAAAAACAAATTACACAAGACATTTTGAAGAGTAAAATTCATTTTTATTGGACCTGCCAACAGCACTATTGCGAAACCAGGTCATCTATTTTTAATCATTAAAAAAGACAACTGCAACAACAAAAGTAAGTATGGTTTAACCAACATGCCTCATTAAACAGTGGAAATGAACTGACATTTACATATTACTTTACCAGTCTTATTGACTGTGGAGTATAGTGCTGGAGAATAGAAGGTAGATTTAAGCATACATGTTTACTCTGCTTTACTCTGTGCACTTTAATTATTTTATGGTGGGCAAATTAGACCTACTAACTAGATAGGTATGTCTTTGTACAATAAACACAAGTTCCTGTTTTAGATTATTATCGTCATAATAATAAAATAAGAACATTAAGCATATTTGTAGCTTACTTTGTGCTCATTTTTTTCAGGTACAATCCAACTGATGGATTTGTTTGCGGCAATAAGGACCAGACTACTGGCAAGTGCAGTGACTACAAAGTTCGCTTTGGATGCCCATGTAACAACTGAGCCCCGATTGAGTCCACCACGCTTAGAATTGTGGGGAGAAAAGAAGTTCCTCTTCATATCACTTTAATTTTCCTCTGCTATTTCTTTTGTTTAATAATTCATTTTTTTACTGGGTGTAATATCGGGAGGAATTTGTAATGGGCCCCCTTCGCAGACATCTTCACTTAGCGGCGTTGCAAAAGCACAGGTGTTGCTAAATTAAAGATGATCTTGTTTCACTGAAGCGACCATGGTGATGTGAACGACACAAAAGCAGCTAAAAATGAAGATTTAGTATTAAATATGTACGCAAATGTTTTCAGTGGTACAGGAGGAAGTTTTTCTGCTTTAACTTTCTTTTCTTTTCAGTGATTATGAAAGCATGACATTGTTTGACTAATGAACCAAAATACTAAAACGAATAAAACCACTAACGAACAGCAAGTCGGTTTCTTCTCTTGAGCTTACATGAAGCTATGACTTGATGTGAGTTATGCAGATGTACAGTATATGCTTTCAGCAGATGGTGGGGACTAATGTGATACGCATGCTGTGTTGTTTGACAGGAAAGTGAAAATGTGGAAAAGCGCAACTCAGTAAATCTGAATTTTATATCAAAATAATTGGCAACACTAACAAGCAAACACACAGGTAGAACTAATGTCTATTTATAGAAAAAAAGACAGTTTGTTTTTTTAGTGCAGGATTAGTGTATTTACAGCTTCCCTTTCTCGCTGACCTACATAAGGCCTTTGCCACATTTCCTTTAAAATCAAGTATTCTTGATGCAAGCCTGTACGTGCACATAACCCCCTGCAAACCCAGAATGTACACATATAGGCACACATACATATAGATACATATATACATGTACACACATACACACAGGCACTAAGGAGAGCAGGGAGATACAAGGTGATTCCATAACACCGCCAACAATTCCTCGGGAGATGAGCACTTGTGATAGGTGCTGAAAAGAAACTGCAGGGCACTGTACGGAATATAAAATAAGGAACTTTTCCACAGTCTGCTCTTGGAAACGAATCTGTTCTTTGGAGGGTTTTGCTAATGCTTGCATGTTTGCATTGCATCAACAGTTCTGTACTTGGTGCCATTTGGCTTTGAGCATGAACGCCTGCCTTCCAGAAGGCTGAAGACTGTGTTGAAATAGGCAACATATCAAAAGACGAAAAAGAAAAAAAAACAACCGAGAAGGACGGATGCAATCTGTTAAATTTTTCCTCTCAACTTCTCATGATAAAACTAAAGAGGAAAAATTCTGACACTGGTGGCAAAATAAAATGAAATTTGCATTATTGAAGTGCAACATAAGTGTCGAAGCTTTGCAGCACTATGGCGTTCCATTCTCTTCCATTAATCTACCAATATTCCATGGCTGTGAAGGCCTATTTATAGACCAGGGGATGATTAAGTGGTGAAGCTCTGTGCCACAAAGGGAACCAAGCTCATTTTCTTTTTCCTTCCTCTCTCTTCTTTGTGTATTCTCTTCCTACTTCTCCCTCTCTCTTTCTATCCCTCTGTGCCCGAGTCTTCTTTCCTATCGTCTCACTCTTTCTCTCTGCGCTCCTCTTTTCCATGAGCTTATATATTATATACCCAACTTTCATTCATATACTTTAGTTTAGCTGTCATTAAAATTATGTTAGACTCAAGGGGTAAGGATAAGTCCTTTAATTTCTTTTTTTTTTCATTAGGCATTTGACAAAAGGATTTACAGCAGTGTTAATTGTTATGAGGCTTCACAGCAAAGACTGACAGGCTTAACAAGAGAGGATGGAGCTCAGTTCTATATGTTTCCATTGCTAAGGCAAGCTGGCTCAAGAATGAAAAGTGTTTTTAGTTATAAGTAGAGGAAGAACATTTGTGCAGAGAGCTGCTTGCAAGGTGTCCTTGAGTGGAAGTGGAGCAATGCACAGGGTAAAGGGTTAAGCTCATTTTCATGTGTGCAGACATGATTAATGGAGGAGAGGAGAGGAGAGGAGAGGAGAGGAAAGGAAAGGAAAGGAAAGGAAAGGAAAGGAAAGGAAA